TACATGTCGGAGTTACAACATCCCATGCACTGTCGTGAACAACACACGTGTGAATACAACAATATGTAGAAGTACAACATGCATGCACGTTTTACAAACTTGCAAATCTAACCATATCGAACCTGACATTTTCCCGCTGGCATCATTTATCGAGGCTTTAAAAGAAGAGGCAATGTTTGGCATTAAGAAAGAAAAACACGTATTGTTAAGTAAATCTAGATACTGTATAAAACAGTGATGCAGATTTGACGCCATGAACTTTGAATTTTCCATGGTGTTAGACTGTTAGTACTAAATATGCACACATATCCCGTTAGATCATGATACAACCGTTTTCGCATACGGACAGCTAGCCCTAAATATGCTCAACAAAAGTAGTTACGCACCACCCTATTTTTCAATATTAAAGTATTTGATAGTTCATATTACGATCCATATGATACTTCATATTGAATATTGGGGTGGTCCTTAACTGTTTTGTTGAGTAAATATTCAGTTAAATGGAAAATGAACATAATGCAACAATAAAAGTAACGGTTAAAGCAATATAGAGTTGTCAATACAACAAAGAAGTTATTAATGTTAACATATCTTCCATTTACTGTTACGTACCAACTTTAAAAAAAAGAAAAACAGTCCTTTGAAATTTTGTTTGTGATGACAATGAACGGCAAATGATAACGGCTGAACAAATAATATAGGCAGTCCTGTGATGTACGTTATACTCCGAAACTCTTAAGCATACCTTCACATTGCCCTTTGTCAGGGTTGAAGCTGTACCCTTCACTGCAAGAACAGTTGTACGACTCAGGAGTGTTAGTGCAAGTTCCGTTACCACAAACGCCCCTATCGCACTCGTTCTCGTGTGTCGTGCAGTTTGGTCCTGTCCAGTAGGGGCTACAGGTGCAGTTTCCGCTGATGTGGTTACAGACAGTTGTAGTAGCTTTGGGACCACAGGTACATCTATGCGTACAGTTAGGGCCCCAGGTTCCGTCATGACAGGCTGTTTGAAACAGGAGTGAGTGAGTGAGTTTAGATTTACGCCGCACTTAGCAATATTCCAGCTATATGGCGGCGGTGTGTAAAAAATCGAGTCTGGACCACACAATCCAGTGATGAACATCATGAGCATCGATCTACGCAATTGGAATACGATAACATATGTCAACCAAGTCATCGAGCCTGACCACCCAATCCCGTTAGTCGCTTCTTACGACAAGCACTGGTTACTTAAGACCGATTCTAACCCGGATCTTCACGGGTCTGCACGAAAGGCTTTAAATGCAGTAATAGTGATTAATATACACACTTTTAGGAGATACCTCAGTTGGAAATATACCTCAGTTCACGCGGCAAGCAATGGTTTCGGATGAGCTCATAATGTGACTGTTAACCCCATGGGTTACTCCCCAGGGAGTTGAGAATGACATATAAGAACGCATTGTTCAGTTATAATGTTGCACCTCTATGAGCACACCGACATTGAGCAAACGGCACCCGACATGGAATTCGACGATGGAAAAAACAATATATTATTATTAGATCTGCATAATGAATAGGTACTGGACTGTCGAGCCCTTTAAATGTAATATTTATGTGTAGTGTTATGACGTTACCTATACAGCTTAGTTTCGTGTTGTCCACGAAAGTATCCATCATGACACTGGCAGAAACCCGTGCTGTTATCACACTTGCCATGTGTACAGAGGCGTCCGCTGCATGGGTCTTTTCTGTAATACAAGTTTCTGGATCTTATGAGCTCTGTGAAGGTAGCAGCTTGTAAACACTGAACATTAGTTCGCTTTAATATTCGTGTTAATATACGGTGTTATACATGTATCTCACAACATTATACACCGACGCTTTTAGATGGATATGAACCAGTAAGGTGTTAGAGTCATACATAAACATACTTGTTTTACGTGTTTCATAAATGAGAAATTGAGGGAAATATCTGTATCCTTTATCCTATCGGGGATCCATTAATAGGTTTGTGACAACAGAAGAAAAGCCTAATACATCAGATAGCTTGCATGACACAGAAACATGATAGTATGTATTTGTCTCTAAATTCTCTGCGTCTGAACATTAAAGCACGTACTTCCTAACCTTACTGGCAGTACATATGCCTGCATTTGTTATAAAGGTAGAAGCGCACATTCGAAGGAAGATCGAACAACTCCTGGTAAATTATTAATCTACAACGGTTCTTGAAACAGAATATAATAAATACATTGATGCATATTTTGTAGCATAATCTGTGATCAGGATCTTTGTTCCGGGGCAGTAATATGTGCTATGTACTAGACATGCGGCCGCAGTGTCATTACCTGCGTAAGACCCGAAAACTTCGGAGATCAAGATAGAAAGCTCTCGATGTAGTAGTAGACAAGTGTAGATTTGACCCTGGTTGTAATTTCGAACCGTTTCTTTAAAAATGAGTGTGAAATCATGGCATTGCAGATCTAACCGTTGCAAGTTGACTCTGGAACCGTTCCTAATTTATTTTTGACTTATTTCACATTGACTGTTACAGTGATGGGGAAAGATGTACTTCTTTGTGAATATTATTCCGTGTTATGTACTACGATTGTGGTGAAATGATACCCATGATCGAGCAATCGGAATCAAGTAGTCCACAGTAGAGTAATGATGTATACTCACTTTCACATATCCCGGTAACGTTGTCGTATCCCCTCTCACAAACACAGGGGCCACTGGCGTTACATACAGCATGTATCCCACAGTCTATTGGGCATGGCTCTTCGACGTCTAAAACCATTGATACAAACAGAATAGTTAGCCGTTTTGTTGAAGAGCTTCATGTGACTTATAACATACATTACTTGCCGAAAAACAGTTTAGAAGATGCAACAGTTCACCCCCTTCACCGCTGGCTGGGGCGGTGGGGTAGCCTAGTGGTTAAAGCGTTGGCTCGTCACGGCGAAGACCCGGGTTCGAATCCCCACATGGGTACATTGTGTGAAGCCCATTTCTGGTGTCCCCCGCCGTGATGTTGCTGGAATATAGCTTAAAGCGGCGTAAAACCAAACTCAGCCAGTCACCCCTGGCTAGTCTTATAATCCTGACCCACCAAACATTTGCCAGATTTCCCAGATCTTACCAGTTGTACAGTTAAAGCCGTCGCTGTTTAAGACGTAGCTAGGATGGCAGAGGCAGTTGAAGGAGCCTTCCACGTTCTCGCAATCTTGTACACAGTTGTCTGTCTTGAGTGTGCATTCGTCGATGTCTGAAATGCACATTAGAAAGTCCATGAATAATCGGTGCACAAATTCAAATTCAAAATATAATATTATCCCTATTATAATTAAGACATGGCCCATTTTGCTGTACAGAGTTGCGCCCCTTAGAAGACACCTATGATTGATAGTTCGAATCCACACTGATTATGTTTCAAGGTTCGTTTGTACCAGACACTTTCCCCTGGTTTCACCAAAGTGTTTGACCAAGGCTCCCCATGACTTGGCTTTCCTCCACATGAAGCTGATACAACGTGATATCTCGATATACCAAAGTAGCCATATCAAACGAAACTCGAGTTATCACGTGAGAAAATACTCGTTTCCATTATTAAAAGTGTACTGCAGTAATTCAGGTCACGTTTCGTCTAAACTGAAAGGGTATAGTAGCCAAGGTAACTCCTTTTGTGAATAGGTCCAGAGAATATGGACGTAACTGCGGGTATCCAAACGAGACCAGAGCATAAATCTATGTCAAACAAAACCCGAGTTATGACAAAACGTTGTTTTCTAAATTACTTCAAGTGTCAGGTCTCGATTCACAAAGCTTCGCAACGTTACGACCCATCGTAAACTCTATAGTTTATCATCGGCCTACAAATGGCATAGTGCTAGGAACGTTTTGTGGATGGGGCCGCTGCACTGAATGATCAAACAACATATCCCGTGTTCATATGCGTGTTCACCTTGCAGTGGGGCAGTGGGTTAGTCTAGTGGTTAAAGCGTTGGCTCGTCACGCCGAAGACCCGGGTTCGAATCCCCACATGGGTACAATGAGTGAAGCCCATTTCTGGTGTCCCCCGCCGTGATATTGCTGGAATATTGCTCAAAGTTGCAAGCTAACTTATTACCTTTTCGACAAAAGTAAACCTCTCATATTTTTATATGCATTTATGTACAATCTATGTCATTTGTTAAGCGGACACGCATCTGCTTGAGGTTAACTCAGTCAGACTGGCAATGCGACTCTTGTCAATCATGTCCGACCTCGACCTTGAGGTCATGTTTATGCTCTTATCAGCTGGCACACTGACTGCTGTAGTTTCTACATTGGGTTTGAGAATAGAGCATCAATGCCTCTATTTTGGCTTTTATTTCTGTACATATTTTTGGCTTTTATCTCTTGTGTTTTCTACCAAACACATGCAGCGCCTGCATGTTCACTACTTTACTTTCCTTTACATGTCTGTTCTGTACCACTTTATAGTTATGTTAAAGAAAAAATCTGTTCCCACTGTTTGAAAGTTGAACCAATATATCATTCACAACCAGCTTTTCCCTTTATATCCTGTATGAACTATCTTACTCTAAATCATGTTAATTTAAAAAATATATGTTTTTTTGCATCTGACTGTGGATACAATTAAGAAAATTAGAATGGTTTCAGCTAACTGTAGAGGCCTAGCTGACACTAATAAAAGGACAGAAGTAATGAATCTATACAGGAAAAAATCATATTCAATCATTTGTTTGCAGGACATCCATGTGGCTAAAGAAGATGTAAATAAAATTAAAAATGAATGGGGTTTGCAAAGTAAAATTGCACCCTTTAGATCTAACTCTAGAGGGGTGGCTATACTCTTTAATAATGACATTGATCTTACCATACACAGAACATTAGAGGATGAAAATGGTAATTATGTTATTGCTGATATAACTGTTGACGATAAAAGATTCACCCTTACAAATCTATATGGACCTAACAATGATGACCCAAATTTTTATCTAAAACTTTTCAACAATATTTGTAATTTTGATAATGAATCCATAGCTATTGTAGGGGATTGGAATTTGGTCATTGATCCTTCAGTTGATTTGAAAATTATAAAATATCAACAATCCTCAGGCTAGAAATATTGTATTAAACAAAATTGAATCCCTTGATCTTATAGATATTTGGAGAGAACTGAATCCTGATTTAAGAAAGTATACCTGGTGGAGAAAAAGCCTAGACAACAAGCAAGGTTGGACTTTTCTTAATTTCACAAGACTTGGTTAATATTTCACTTGATTCTGATATCATACCTGGTTATAAAAAAGATCATTCAGGCATTAGCTTTACTTTTTGAAAACACTATCAACCAAGAAAGAGGGAGGGGTTATTGGAAATTTAACACTTCCTTACTCTTACATCCTGAATATGCTGATTTAGTAAGATCAATCTTGAGGGATACAATTGAAGAATATTTAGATACCGAACATAATGGTGAAAATGTTGATGATTCGGATATTAAATTGAAGATTGATGATAGCTTATTCTTGGAAACTTTTCTGATGAAAGTAAGAGGAAAATCAATCTCTTTTTCATCTTTTCTCAAAAAGAAAACAATAAATAAGACCAGTGAATTGGAAATTAAAATCAAAGACTGTGAAGATGATATTAGAAAAGATTTCCAAAATATTAATGAATCCTACTAGCTGACCTTACAAAATTAAAATTGGAACTACAACAAATTAAAGAAGAAGAGATAAGAGGAATTCAACTTAGAAACAGAATCTTATGGTATGAAGAAGGAGAAACAGCAACAAAATACTTCTGCCATTTAGAAAATAGAAATTATGTCAGCAAAGCAATAAATAGAGTTATTACAGATAAGAATGAGGAAATTACTGACAGTAAATCAATATTAAATGAACTGAAAGAATTTTATAAAAACTTTATTCTTCAGACAAGGAATTATAAAATGATGACCACTTAGACAATGTAATAATTCCAATCTTAAGTGACCAATTTAGAGACAATTTGGAAAAGAAATAGATATGAATGAAATATCATTTGCGGTAAAAAGTATGAAGAATAACAAAGTCCCTGGAATTGATGGATTTCCTATAGATTTCTTCAAGTATTTTTGGAAAGAACTCAAAATGTGGATTTTTAGATTTATCAATGATGTTTCATGGAGAAATAAGATGTCTCTTACCATGAAGAGAGGAGTTATCACTTGTATATCTAAAGCTAATAAAGAAAGGGCCTTATTAAAGAACTGGAGACCAATTACTTTATTAAATGCTTTGTATAAAATAATTAGTGCATGTATCTCTAACCGGTTAAAAATCACCTTAGACTCTTTGATACATAATAACCAGACTGGATTCATACCGGGTAGAACTCTTAGTGAAAATACAAGGTTATTATATGATCTTATATTTGAAACAAAGAAAAGAGATATTCCTGGTCTGCTGATCTTAATTGACTTCGAAAAAGCTTTTGACACAGTTTCTAAAGAATTTATCAACTCTGTTTTACTAAAATTTGGTTTTGGGCCACAGATTATACGCTGGATTAATTTATTAACTTATGATACAACATCATGTGTTATTCAGAATGGACATCTCTCTGATTTCTTCCCTAATGGGCGGGGTTGCAGGCAAGGTGACCCAATATCGCCATATTTGTTTCGTTTTGTAGCTGAAATCCTTGGATGTATGATAAGACAAAATGATGATATAAAGGGTATTGTAATTGATGTTCAGGAATATAAATTAGGACAATATGCTCATGATACTGAATTATTTTTGGATGGTTCAGATGAAAGTTTGTATGCTGCTATTGATATCATTAATACTTTTTACAATATGTCAGGGTTAAGAATAAATATCGATAAGACTAAAGCAATCTGGATAGGCTCAAATGCAGGTAGCAGAGATATGATTTGTGAAGATTTGAATATAGAATGGCAAAGAAAGGAATTTGAAGTTTTGGGTATTAAATTCACACCTGATTTGAATGACTTATGGGTAATCAACACAAAAAAAGACTCGAAGAAATTAATAGATTATTGGCAACATGGAGAAAAAGACATCTCACACTGATTGGCAAAATCACTGTAATTAAAACATTGGCTCTTTCAAAACTGGTTCACATTTTCAATTCTTTACCTAATCCACCTGATGAATTTATCACTTCCCTTGAGAGACTATTTTTCAGATTCATTTGGAACAACAAAAATGATAAAATTAAACAGAGCACTTTGAAAAGGATTATACAGAAGGGGTTTACGCATGATAGATATTAAAACCTTTGTTCATGCCATGAAATTATCCACACTCAGACTCTATTTGAGAAAAACAAATATGAGTAATCCATGCAAGTTTCCATTAAATGATATACTAAAATATGGAGCAAATTTTCAGAATATTGTTGAAATTGATAATCCTTTTTGGAAAGATGTTTTATTGGCATGGAAATTATACTGTAATAAGAATACCATAGAAGCAGACAACATTAAAGGAATTTTAGCACAACCTTTATGGCTGAATAATAATTTCAAAAACCCAAATCACTTTATCAGGCATTGGGCTAAAATGGAACTTTTAACAATTAAGGACCTTTGTAATGAAGATGGTTTTATGTCTCTTGAAGATCTGAAGTTCAAATTTGATATTAGAGGTACATATATGGATCTTCGATATGTTCTCTATATCATACCTGAATCATGGAAATTGACCATAAAACAATACAGAAATATATATAACAATGAATAGGATGATAACTTTCTTTATAAAGATTTTATGGATTCGAAAAAAGGTTCAAGATTATTTTATGATAAACTCTTATCTGACAATATTAAACCTCATATTTGCCTAAAATGGGAAAACTTATTTTACGATATTGATTTTGATTGGCGTATGATTTTTAATATTTGCAGAAGGAATGTGAAAGATGTAAAACTTTTAGACTTTCAATTTTAATTTTTGCACAGAATTATTTATACAAAAAAAGAACTTATGAAAATGAAACTGGTTGACAATGCAGTATGTAGCCTTTGTAATGTTGATAGTGAAACTTTATGTCATGTATATTGGGATTGTGTTGTAACCCAAACCTTCTTGAAGGAACTTGAAAACTGGATAATCCAAAATATACAGAAATTTGATATAACAAAGACCTTGGTTTGGTTTGGAATTTTGGGTAATAAGCCATTACTAAATCATATAATCTTATCTGCTAAAAATTATATATATACTTGCACTTTGAAGAAAATAATTCCAAAAGTTAATAATTTTTTAAAAAATTTGAAAGACATTTATACGGTTGAAAATTTCATATCCAGAAGGACCAATAAATCTGATCAATTTTCAGACAAATGGTTTCCTTTATTCTCAATATTTAATTTCTGACGTAATCTTTAATGAAAGGGGAATAATTGTTACTGGAGTATATTCTCTCTATGCTATCAGTTGACCTAACATTTGTGTTGAACCCAATGAACTTTGATCATGTATTTATGCATTTATTGCTTTACTTTATATGCTTGTACCTTAATTATGGGAACAAATAAAAAAGATTTAAAAAAAAAAAAAAAAAAAAAAAAAAAGGGTATATGGACGTAACTGCGGGTATCCAGCCACGAGACCAGAGCATAAATCTATGTCAAACAAAACCCGAGTTATGACGGGTGAAAACGTTGTTTTCTAAATTACTTCAAGTGTCCAGGGTCTCGATTCACAAAGCGTTCGCAACGTTACGACCCATCGTAAACTCTATACTTTATCATCGGCCTACAAATGGCATAGTGCTAGGAACGTTTTGTGGATGGGGCCGCTGCACTGAATGATCAAACAACATATCCCCGTGTATCTCATATGCGTGTTCACCTTGCAGTGGGGCAGTGGGTTAGTCTAGTGGTTAAAGCGTTGGCTCGTCACGCCGAAGACCCGGGTTCGAATCCCCACATGGGTACAATGAGTGAAGCCAATTTCTGGTGTCCCCCGCCGTGATATTGCTGGAATATTGCTCAAAAGCGGCGTAAAACCAAACTCAGTCAGTCAGCCAGTCAGTCACCTTGCAGTCCTTTCACGTCACGTTTCGTCAAAACGGACATATCACACTTAGAGCCTTAGATAATGCTTTGTGTGAATAAGAATGGGGTACGGCTGTTACTGCAGGTATCCAGATTGTATTCACCATACCTTTACACTGTGTCCCGTTCTTAGAGAAACCTTTATCACAAACACACGTGTAGCTCCCTTCATTGTCATGGCAACTGGCATGTTCCTCACAGCTGTAATCTCCTGTGGTACATTCATCGATATCTGCCACAAATATAGAGTTAGGTGTTAAGCTTTCATTAAAGCTACATGTACTATAAATAGACAATGTCTGAAGCTCAGCACAGTAAACTTAGAGCTAGCATACTAAAAACCTATAAGCCAAGTGTAGGACGAAACATTAGCTGAAAAGAATACTCTTGCAAGGTAAATTCCAAAACACTGATACCAAATGGTATAATGCAATAATGGTATCAACAGCAAGACATGGGATTGCACCTGTACTGCTGAGAATGCACATAAACTGGTCTCCTAGCTGTTCTCCGCTCTAAGTTCCCAGTCAGAATGATTGTTTAACGAGTGGAGCACTTTGAAGATGGACCCTGTATCACAAAGCAATCTGAGTGTAATTGGTCATTTACGATGTTTACAGTTTAAAATAAACTTCAGGCTGCGAGGGCTTGCTGAAACGTAAAACCTATCACCCCCAGAACAAAATCTGTCGGCCTCGCGCCTTCGGGCCAGTGTCTATTTCCAGCACTGATATCAGTACACAGTAAGAGTTATGATGATACACTGGATGTTTCGCTTTTTAAGTTATGCTGAAAAATATATAACTGTTAAATACTAATAACAGAAAATAACAGTCCATTTCAAATATTTCTTGTCTGTACCGAATGATATATCTTTACTTACTTTGGCACGAACCGTTGGGATTCCTATAATACCCTCCCCTGCAGTCACAAATGAAGCTACCGATAGTGTTGACACATTGTTCGTAGTTGTCGGAACAAGGGGAGCTGTCTCTCTGACATTCGTCTATGTCGTCACTGCAGTCACTTCCAGTATAACCTTCCTCACAGATGCACCCTTTCTCTTGGTCGCATCGTTGAAGATGTTGACATTGGGCACAGCTCATTGAACAATTGGGACCGAACATCAAGGGAACCGTGCAAGCTGGAGGGTAACAGTGTACACGTATAGGAAGCCATTGAGTGATTCCCAAGGACTGAAAGACCTAACTTAACACGCTGTCTAAAACAATCCCGAAACCAGTAGCCGAAACAAACATTGTTTAATCAAACAGAAAATCAAAACTTTGAGACCCGTATTCAGCGCATTTCGATTCTTGATTGTTCCGTTTTTCTATGCCAGTTTAATTTGACTGTCAACCTGCTTCTAGAAATCTTCAGTGACTGTAATGTACAATGCATTGTGAGACATGCTGAGAACAAGAAGCACTTGAATGATCATGCAAAACATTCCCGCATACACATGAAAAACACTGACAAGGTAAAACCTAATGGCCTGTTAATGAGACATGGCAGCAGAACTTACATCTGTTTTCATTTGGGATTCCCGAAGTTAATGTCTAGAAATGAAGCTTTTTTCTGTTGTTCATGCTTTCTGAGAAGAATAAGTCAGTTTCTCTGAAAGGTACATGTGTGTGTAGATTATGTTGTACCTTTGCACGTGGTCTTGTCAACCTGAAGGGTGTATCCAGGAGCACAGGAACAGAGAAAGCCGCCTTCGATGTTGCTGCAGGTGTGATCGCAACGCTGTTTGGTGGAGCATTCGTCGATGTCTGACCAGAATATACAACCCACTATTTTAACATATTGACATTTTAAATAGTAGACCAGTAGGCCTTCTGGGTTAAAATAGGGGCCCATGCAGGTTATGACAAGCGACTAAATTGGTCCATCCTCGATAGTATCCAGGGCATACGTTCCGATAAATCTCAACTATACTATCGGCACGTATACCTTGGAGATTATCGAGGATGCAATTTGTCGGGAGACGGGTTCGGTGATAAGGTTCAAAATATGTTGTCGTGCTGAAGTTGCCCGGATGGATCACTATTGCATCAATTACTGGATTGACTCTATTATCTACACACCGTTGTCATACAGATCACATACTGCTGAAAGTTAAGCAAGAAACACGCAGTATATGTATGAGCTCATGTACGGAGTAGGATTTCTCTCCTGCAGACACTCCCACAAAGGTTTATCTATAATTTAGAATCAAACCAAGTCTGCGGTATTTTATATTTAAATTGGACAAAAGATTGCACTAATTGTAGTTTTCGATGCTGTTTAATCAGATATATATTGGTGAAGGTATCGAAGTCCATGTTTACATGTTGAATGGCATAAGAAAAGTAGTCTGACCTTGACATATCGTCCCATCGACCAGTGTCAATCCTCGTGGACAATAACACCCGGCACCACGTGAATCCTCCAAACAGTGGGAACAGTTCAGACCACTTTCAGCACACGTCTTCGAACCAGCTGCAATGACTGTCATAGGGAAGACATATATATACAGTGTAGTAGTAGTAGTAGTAGTAGTAGTAGTAGTAGTAGTAGTAGTGGTGGTGGTGGTGGTGTTGTTGGTGTAGTAGTAGTAGTAGTAGTGTGGTGGTGGTGGTGGTGGTGGTGTAGTAGTAGTAGTAGTAGTAGTAGTGGTGGTGGTGGTGGTGGTGGTGGTCGTGGTAGTAGTGGTGGTGGTGTAGTAGTAGTAGTAGTAGTAGTAGTAGTAGTAGTAGTAGTGGTGGTGGTGGTGTAGTGTAGTAGTGGTGGTGGTGGTGTAGTGGTGGTGGTGTAGTGGTGGTGTAGTAGTGGTGGTGGGCGGTGGTAGTAGTAGTAGTAGTAGTGGTGGTGGTGGTGGTGGTGGTGGTGGTGGTGGTAGTGTAGTAGTAGTAGTAGTAGTAGTAGTAGTCGTGGTGGTGGTGGTGGTGTTGTTGGTGTAGTAGTAGTAGTAGTAGTAGTAGTAGTAGTAGTAGTAGTGGTGGTGGTGGTGGTGGTGGTGGTGCTATTGTTAGTGTTATAAAACACAATCAGACAAGAATCTATCATCGTTCATGAGTTTCTTGAGGTTACCTTTACATGTCCCGTTTACAGTCATGTTGTACCCCTCGTGACACGCGCACTGAAATGACCCCGGGGTGTTGTTACACATTTGGTCGCAGTTGTCAAGTCTCAAGTCACACTCATTGATGTCTGAAACACGTTGACGTGAATATGGTCATAGAATTGATAGCGTTATCGACATGACTAACCCATACACTTGAATACAATTGAAGTAAAATAAAAGTATGCAATTGACATTATCCGGCAGCATCTACATTCAGAAATCTCACAGCATCGATTGGATAAGTGGTTATCAGAAAACTATTGTCAAGCGTTCTACGTCTTTGAGAGATTACGTAAGCAACCGTGGCTGCAAATCACTACGCACTTTATGATGCAAAGGACGATTCACCCAGGCATTGTATTCCTACGCTGTGTGTCAAGTAACTTCAGTAACCTGTTTGAATCGCTTTAAGGCGTGTGCTGAACAAGGGAGATAATTCTATGGAGAGTAAAGTCTCTGAAGTATCCGAATCATACGCATGACCACATACTTCAAATCTAGTTTTTAACATATTTTTTACTTTGCAATTATCATATATTATAAACACAAGAACAGAACTATATGAACATACCTCGACATGCTTTACCATCGGATGATAGAACGTAGCCCTTGTCGCATGTACAGTAATAACTGCCGGGGGTGTTGTGACATGTTCCGTTGCAACCATGGTGATCATCACGGCATTCATCTATATCTGAAGAAACGATAATACGTACGTTAAGCAGCTTCAAGGTAATTGATTTATGGAGTTCCTTACTTTTAAAGATCTAAATATCTAACTAAAATATTTCATGTCCATTTTAAACTGGATATACTGACGTTACTGTATCTCCTTAAAGTAAATAGGGTAAACTACGGTTATAACGAACTCGAGGGGGAAACCAATACTTATTGTTCGTTATAACCGAAGTTCGTTATAAGCATATATACAGCATGCGACCCCGACCAAACTTCTAGTTTGATATAACCGTCAGTTACAAATGTAGTTGACCGTATCATTCATTCTGTTGAATGGAACATCGTGGATAGAAATTTCACCTGAGAGACAAATTCAGCCTGATTAAAAGGTAGGAGGCGCAATAACAACTTGACTGACCGTCATGTAAACCGTCTTTTATCCAATATCAAGCATCGATTTAAGACAATTTGTTGCTTTCGAAAATATATTTATTTGCCATTCCATCAATACGATTTTGCAGTAAACGGACTTAAGTCCAGACTGGCGTATAAAGCCACACGCTTACAATGCATGAGGGAATCCTGCAATCTCGAACGCGATGTGCACACACGTGAATGGTATGTCACATAATGTTTGCCTGAAAGGCTCTCACTGTGATATGACTGTTGTAGAAAATGAATACCATGTTCTCTTTACTTGTAATAGATATTCTCTTCTCCGTAACGAATACATCTTGACCATCCAAAAATAGTGTAAAGCTAGATTAACATTACAAAAAATATTAAACACACCTGATGTGAATATACTACGTTTAACATCTATATATTTGCTAAAAATATTTGACTAAAGATCTTAATACAATTTTGGTCATGTGACAACTATTGTATACCTTACAATACAATTGTACTATGGGCCATGTGGCCTAAAATACGGAATAAACTTGATTGAAAGGCTTCCAGTGTTTGAAATTAACGTCGGTCCTTAGACCCGAAGCCGACTAAAAACCACTCGGACTCACAGCTTTTGTTTTCTGCAGGCCGACAGCTTTTTCATCCTCAATAATTAAGAGTATTATTTTTCAGAAAATATCATTCGGCAATTTCTAGTTTACATTTCTAAATTAAACTCTTTAACCCAGTTTGTTAGTTGTTACAATTTTTGTTTGCTGGGAAATACTTATTTTGTAATATATAATATAAGGCCTACACATTCTGATCAAGACCCACAACTTTTTATGGTTCTGGGTCCTTTGGGCCTTCACTTTTTCAGGGTTACGGGCAAACGCTGACTAGGCTTCTCCTTTTGTGCGGCTGTCGACTATTTTAACAACACTAACCTGTGCATTTTCCGTATGATAAACTGAATCCCTCGCGACATGTACAGTTGTTCGGGCGACCCAGTGTCTGCTGCTCCGCTGGGGCGAGGTCTGTGCAGTTGGTACCCGTGGGGCATGGGTTGGGTTGGCAACCATTGAAGTCAATGTCGCATGTAGACCCTGAATGTTTGTTTATGAATCATTATTACTGCATTCAAAGCCTTTCGTGCAGACTCGTGAAGATCCGGGTTAGAATTGGTCTTCAACTCATGTTTGTCGTAAGACGGCATTGGGTGGTCAGGCTCGCTGACTTGGTTGACACATGTCATCGTGTCCCAATTGCGCAGATCGATGCTCATGATGGAGGTCACTGGTTTGTCTGGTCCAGTCTCGATTATTTACAGACCGCCTCCATTTAGCTGGATTATTGCTTAGTGCGGCGTTAAACAACATCCAACCAACATTTCGTGCATACTTGTTATATGAATAGTGGGTAACCATTTGTCTACAACATCGTTCGGTTACGTAGAATATTAAAGTATTAATCTATATGGATATATTTGTTCTGACGGTATACAGTCATGGTTAAGTTTGAAATAACGTCATATCACTGTAAAACAATGATTTTAAAAAAAAATACAATGTCATTCATAAAATATATTCTACAGACCCAACCATCCAGATGGGCACTCGCAGTTCAGTGGAAGGAAATTCTGGTTGGGCGACGTAAGGAAGTAACAATTGCCGTTGTTGCTGCAGTTGGGGCAGAGTACAATCCGAACTTGCAGAGTTGGCGACGACCCACCGGCACTGTCTACGGCGTGAAAACTAAACATGGAGGAAGACACTATTAGAATTTACACTTATCAGAGGGGTACACAGAGTCCGCAGTCTAGACTACCAGTTGTCCGACTTCCATTTTGTGTGAAAGTGGCGCTGGCTGAGCGGGTTAGGCGGCTGACTTTGCGTGCTCGCCATTTGGCGCCTGAATTCTGAGGGCGTGGGTTCGAATCCCGGATAGGACTCAACCCCAAAAAGTAATAGAATTTGTACTTTACTAAGAAAATGTAATCCCAAATATAACATATGTCGTCTGGAATAATGTAGAATACATGTTATGGTTGATCTAGAGAAGCCTGATCTGGTTATAGCAGATCTTGATCTGGTTATAGCAGATCTTGATCTGGTTATAGCAGATCTTGATCTGGTTATAGCGGATCCTGGTGGACACGATAATGTCACCGCTTACTCGACTGTTGTTCTCGGTATGTTGAAATATGGTGACAAATTATTAATGACTCATACGCGGTATGAATGTGTACAGTAACTACGGTTATATCGAACTCAAGTGACCACTTGCTTCAGTTCGTTATAACCGAAGTCCCCGCCGTGATGTTGCTGGAATATTGCTAAAAGTGGCGTAAAACCAAACTCAGTCAGTCAGTCAGTCATATAACCGAAGTTATAAGAGTGTAATATACATGAAGTGAGCGGGAAAAATGGAAACAATAATTTCGTCATATTTGTCAGTTCGTTATAAAAGTGTTCGTTACAAGCGTAGTTTATTGTATGTTGTTTTCAAACCGATCACCGCTTACTCATAATATTTGGGGCGGTGAGGTAACCAAATGCAAACCGAAACATGAGTCTCATTAACCGATTCAGACAATGACCTACTTTTCAGCCGATCCGAATTTTCCCGTGTGAAAGTGAAAAGAGACACAACAAACAACCATGGTTACACTGAATTCCAATTCCTTATTTCATAAGCAAATGGTAGTTACAACTGAATTTTAATTTTAAACTTTAATACCATCGTATTTCTAAATTTTATGGCGAGGTGTAGGCAGCATGACCTTAACTAAACGTCACAGACTGCCCCTGTTTGATGAGGTCGTACAATGATTCACAATTCATCTGGCTCACTGGTTACACCTGTTATGTGTTCTTTGCGCTTATTCAGTGAATTTGGTAACGCAAAGTGTGATTGATATAATATCAAGTCCGTACCAGACTACCAAATTTTTCTAGCGGCAGAGCCTCATTTTGAGATTTTCACGTTTTCCAGATTTTCGTTTGTCAGAGCACGCTGCACGACATAGCACGCTGCAAAACGTGTTTGCAAGGATAAGATGGAGCGTAGTGTTGCACTATACAAGTGCTTAGATGTATCAAAAAATACTGATAAATATTTAGGTATCCAGTTGAATGAATTTGTTTCAAAATTCTGGACTGGTTATTGTATTAACTTGCGCAATAGGACGGAACTCAGCCAGCAGGAAACGAGACTGTTGTGTAATCAATGTTTTGACTTGTTAAAGCGCCCGCTCGTGCCGCTGAAGACCCAGGTTCAATTACCCACATGGGTATAATGTGTGAAGCGCTTTGAGCATATCCCTGTGACGTTGAAAGGCGCTATATAAATGGCCTATTATTATTATTATAATGTGTGAAGCCCATTTGTGGTGTCCCCCGCCGTGATATTGCTGGAATATTGCTAAAAGTGGCGTTAAACCACACGCACTCACTTACTCATAATCATAATTAGGTTGGATAATATTGGTATGTACTAACGAAGAAACGTAAGATAACACCAGTTATAATCAATCTACCTGATGTTGAAGGGTGTTACACCATCGGGAGTGAAAACATATTGAAGGCTGGTGTTAGTTTTGCTCATGTTCTGGTGTTCATAGGATCCGGACATGATCAGGGTGACGTTCTGGTCAATGTCGTCGTCGAGAGCTGTGGCGGTGACAGTGACACTTTTACCAACAGTGGCGTTCACCTGCACGTCGCTGATCACTCGAGGGACATGGTTTTCTGAAATACATAGAGGAACGAAATGTGCAACATCGATATCTTTGATATATAAAAATATTCAGAGTTGAGGATCTGTTACTATGTGAATGGCAGCAATCACACTATACTAATATCTTAGACTAACGACTCACTGCCGTTAAACAAAGATATGTTGAAATTTAATCCGACCAATCAGGGCGTCGTTTACAAAATCGGGAAAGGGACAGTCGGAATGTCTCTTTCCAGTCTCGCACCTCGAAAAGGAAAGCACCGGATATTCTGAACGACTAATACAGTCTGTGCGTCTGATTCTGTCACAACTATAGTCTCAGCTTCCAGATGGAAGAGCCTTTACCTAGCCCCTGTAATTTCAACACAATCTCAGCCATCTATATATTAGGCATAGCAAGTTATATTTCCAAATTTGTAATATTTTTTCAAATGACGTCTGGAAAGAGAGTTTCCATTTTGAAGTGTTGAAAGATCGAGAAAATTTTGTGCTCAGCGAATTTTTTGTTGTTGTTAGAAATGTCATATGCCGGTCAAAGTTCGCAAAGGGTCTTTCTGAAGGAACCTGATGTCCTCGGTTCTTTGTGTAGAGTTAACATCTTATTGTTATGGAAACAGAACAGCCCGTTTGAATGACAGTCAAGTACCGCTGTGTCGAAGTTAAAGGGACTTTTGAAAATACTTCGACCTCTCTGAGGTTCGATAACAAAATAAAGCTTAACTAAAACTAAGCTTTTTCTGGAGACCCATTGGTGTTTGACTTAGCGAGCGTCCTTCAATATGTTCAAATATCGACCGTACATACACTTGGAGCAGACATTATGAAAGTGCCCTAAGGAAAACGGGAATCACAACAGATCAGATGACATCGTTTCAAACAAATGTTTTGAAGTTCGGCGTGTCAATCGTCAGAAAGTTACACTCTGCTCGCCCCTGGACCCGATGACTGACCAGCCCTTAATTATGTTCAAATATTAATTTTTGTATTTGAAAATTAATAGAACTGTCAGTTCCACCCTACCCACTCTTACCCATAGCGTTATAGTTACAATTTGGCAAACCACTTTCTTTGGTTCCCTAATATTTTCGTGCAACCGATTATCTCACCGCTCCCAGTCAATGGCGAGTTAACACAACGGGTAAATGATATATTACAAAACCTGTGTATATCCTCTTCTCAGCTGCTGTTTCTTTCACGTATTTGGTGTTGTTGGATATGGTGGCGTCTCCAGTGACCACGTAGTCATAGATACACTCCAAGTCGTCGCGTCCACAAGCAATCTCGGCCTCGTGTGTTGTATTCATTGTGTCAAGGAACATGGGAAGAAATTCCGGATGCTGATAGAAGGAAGAGGCCCGCCCTGGGTTGTACTTGAACACATTTGTCCTGTTGATACTCGGCAGAACTGTGCGCCCTGAAGAAGAGCTTGAATTTGTAGTATAGGGCCTGTAAGGCGCCTCTTCCGGTCTTAAGCTGGTACCAGCTTTCTGGTGACAAGCTGTATGCAAGAACCAGTTCTGGTTCCAAATTGCGCCACCGACAAATATGACTTTACTAGACCGGACCAAGTGTACAACAATGCTTGGCTGTTGACAGTCGTAATAGTTGGCTAATATGGGACACGGTTAAATATTGTTCCATGAGACAACCATGAGACCATTCGAAAAGGTCTGAAACGTTGTTTGTCACCGGAAGTACTAAACAACGTAAGGCGTCGCGAAGTGCCGTGACCTACCTACGGGCCCCATTTAGTTCGTATGACAAAGGCTCTAAATGTCGTGAACATTTACCGTTTTTGTAAAACCCCGTAGTTTAAATATATCTTTCTGTGTGGTTGTAGAGTATGTCTGTGTGATTGTAGAGTGAGACTGTGATTGTTTAGGGTTATTGTGTGATTGTACAGTGTGACTGCCTGATTGTAAAGTGTGACTGCCTGATTGAGTTGAGTTGAGTTGAGTATAGTGACGAGATCAAGTCTGAATTCATATGATTGTGTAGTGTGACTGTGTATTGTATAGTGTGACTGTGTGGTTGTATGTGGTGACTGTGACTGTACAGGATGACAGTGTGATTGTAATTGTGTCTTCAATAATTATCAGATGATATATTCCTGCGTGACACAGGTGCATACAGTGCACATACACTTTGCATTAACTTCAAAACCTGTTTGGGCCAATACGTTCGTTGCTGCTTAACCAAACCTTAACATTCAAGAAAAGATAATGGCATGTAGAAAGTCAGTAGAACGATAATAATGCTCGAACACTGCTAATTGGCCTTTGTTGTAAGCGACTCGAATGTGTATACACCGAAAGTAATATTTAGCCTCATAATCTATCGCTTAGAGCATGCACATTAAGGGTAGATAATTCTTGTACTAGATCCAATACAGCTAACTATGGGTGAGATTTAAAGGCTTTCTGAAAAAAAACCAATCAGAAACATTTGTCACCGTAAGTAATATATTCACTTACATTTTTCTCCAAACTTATGAAATATGGCTTCATCGTGCATCGTATGGTTCAGAGTAGTGCCATTTGGTAGAGTAAAGTCATCGGTCAAGTCGCCATTGAAATTTCCCAGCAGTCCACTGATCGTAAAATCCGAGTTATTCCGCCAATCAGAGGGCACGGTGAGGGCAACGTCTAGCATCTGTACGTTGTGAGTGATGTTGACACTTACACCTGGAACAAGCAGATGTCAGTTAGCCATTGTGTTTCTTTCAGTCTTCCAGTCCAGTGGTTCACCCATTGACTACATCTGACCAGCCACAGTGATAGCATTACCTTCCTGCAGAACACACTCTAGCTTCGCACGTCGACAAACAGGAGATACCCGATACAATTATCTCTCTTGAGATCATCACTTGACCTAGTGAATCTACCATTTCTTACAACTGATATTGAATAGTTTCATCATTTAGAGAAAATGTGTTTTTAAATCCAGAAATTAGTGGCACATAGCGGTGCAGTTAGAGAAACCTTGGCTACAAAGTAAACGGGACATAAACGGTTCGTATGCTATACCTATTAAGTCCTTATACCAGTTACTTACACTGCTCTGGAATGATGAATCATGTAAACGCACCACATACTAGTATAAAAACTATGACTAACGAACACCTTATCCAACTTCTACCCTACTAGATAGTATACTCTACTAGATAGTATTCTCTACTGGATAGTATATATATACTCTGATTAGTTGATGCTCATTACATTGGCGTTGAAGGAGAATTTACTAAATTAAAAGAAATTATAGAAATATTTATCATGTGATTGTTGTCACTTTAATAGCATATATTAAACAAGAGTGATCCTGGGACAGTAAGGCAGGTTAAGTTCATCATCAGCGCAGGGTCTTTTCCCCTCCCAAACAACACGACCCTTGAAGATCAGGGTTAGAATTGATCTTCAGTAACCCATGCTTGTACTAAGAGGCGACTAATGGGATCGGGTGGTCAGGCTCGCTGACTCGGTTGACACATGTCATCCCATCCCATTGCGTAGATCGATGCTCATGCTGTTGATCACTGGATTGTCTGGTCCAGACTCGATTATATACAGACTGGAATATTGCTGAGTGCGGCGTTAAACAACAAACAAAGCAAACAACCCTAACGACGCAGCCCAGACAACGAACGTGACTTCTCTGCAGCCTTCTGCATTAGCAAGAGTGTCAGAAGGGTCGTGTTCCTGCAGCACACCAAGAACCAGTCTCGCTACTGGGAGGTACCAAACATGAGGCACCGAGAGGAATGGGAAGTATTACTTCGTACTTTAGACATTTTGTAGTCGAGGTCCACACATTGTCACGTTTTTCTAAATTTTGCCAGTCACATCGGTGTCAAAAGGGACTAAACATTCGATTATATGAATTGTTTCACTAAATTTATCAAAAGGACAAAGTCAAGTTGGTTGGCTTGGATACTTCTGAGTCTGTATTCCAGCGCATTCAGACAATGTCAATGAATCAAGAATGATATCGCTGTTTCACCTAATATAGAGGTCTATTCATAAACGCTACTAAACAGGAAAACTTGTAAGTGACTCATTTAAGAGTTGTTTACTTCATAATTACCTGAAGGTAACGTGGCGATGATGACGAGACCATCCGTCCAAATGGATGAGGAGTTTGTTATACTCATGAAATTTCCTTTAATGTCAGCGCTGATATCATTACCATTGTTGTAAAAAGCAGATCTGAAAGTGAAGTGATACAGAAGAATAAACAAATGTGTGACTGAGTGAGTATGGTTTTACGCCGCCTTTAGCAATATTCCAGCAATATCAGATACCAGAAATGCTTCACACATTGTACCCATGTGAGGAATCGACCCCGGGTCGTCGGTGTTACGAGCGAATGCTTTAACCACTAGGCTACCCCACCGCCCTTGGATAAACTAATGACTACTGAGGATATTAAGCACATAAGGTCACTGTTTAACCTTATGAAAAGCCTGTAGAGAGTCAAACGTGATAAATAATTGGGTGAAAATATTTGAGTGGAATTTGTAGTGTACTGCTACCTTTCTTGTCCTGAGAAAGCTCGGCTTGAATAGAAGATCCCGCCAAGTAGTCCTGCACGACGACTGCGGTGAATATTGTGGCGTTGTTGTTGGTGGAGGTGGACACAGATGCAGTCCGGGCCTGGATCTCGAACACGAGGTGCTTGTGCTGATCCTCTACTTGGAAGAGAACGTACTCGCCCAATCCATTGAATGTGTAGTTCAATCCGTCCATGGTCTGCAGGTGGGGGTCGCCGTAGTACGTGGCTGTAACACGGTGGTAGTGGATAGACGAGGTTGGGTACAGTAGGTGGTCGAGTGTGTGTGAAGTGAGTACGTGGATAGACGAGAATGGGTACAGTTGGCGGTCGAGTGTTTTTGAAGTGAGTACGTGGATAGACGAGAATGGGTACGGTTGGCGGTCGAGTGTTTTTGAAGTGAGTACGTGGATAGACGAGAATGGGTACGGTTGGTGGTCGAGTGTTTTTGAAGTGAGTACGTGGATAGACGAGAATGGGTACGGTTGGTGGTCGAGTGTTTTTGAAGTGAGTACGTGGATAGACGAGAATGGGTACGGTTGATGGTCGAGAGAATGGGCACGGTTGAAGGTGAGTACGTGGATAGACGAGAATGGGTACGGTTGGTGGTCGAGTGTTTTTGAAGTGAGTACGTGGATAGACGAGAATGGGTACGGTTGGCGGTCGAGTGTTTTGAAGTGATAGTACGCTTGTTGTCGAGTGTTTTTGAGACGAGTAATTGGGTAATGGGTACGGTTGATGGTCGAGTGTTTTTGAAGTGAGTACGTGGATAGACGAGAATGGGTACGGTTGGTGGTCGAGTGTTTTTGAAGTGAGTACGTGGATAGACGAGAATGGGTACGGTTGGCGGTCGAGTGTTTTTGAAGTGAGTACGTGGATAGACGAGAATGGGTACCGTTGATGGTCGAGTGTTTTTGAAATGAGTGATTGAGTGAAAGAAAGATGACAGTGCGAGCTGGCGGTAGAGTGAGTTGAGAGGGTTGTGTGCTGACGAGAAACATTGATATAGTGGGTGGACAAAGGGGTAACTGGTAGAGTGATGGCGTTTCATTCACAGCCATAGTTCGCTGCAAGAACATTTCTAGATCATCTTCAAACAGAGGTAGATTATCACATTTTGAGTCTTGAGCCTTGTTGACATCATGTAATCTCCACAACAAAACACTAAAATCTTTATCATTATGCAGTTTCATCAATTGACGATCAGAACGTATCAACCATCTTAGAATGTGGTAGCTTGCCCACATCGGACGACGGGGAAGGTGAATAAGTGGCTGAAATTGACAAGGGAATGAGATTGCGGTTGTCAAACAGAGAATATACGCGTGAGTAATACTGTCTAGGTGTGGGTCCATGAAAAGTCAAAGGAAAGTCATACCTAGTGTAGGAGTTTGATAAAGATGGCAGTCATCTGGAGGTCGGAGTTCTGTGAGGTACAGGCCACAGAGGTCAGACAAGTCACAGCACACGGTGCGTGGCTCCACGTCCTCCCGCAGGAATGCTGCGGGCTGCAGGAAGGGGGAGTGCCGCACGAAGTGACCCCCTGACGGGTACTGAACTTCCAGCGATCCATAAGAGTTGTAGCAACATCGCTAAATAACCCAACATATGAACAGGAGGCATATATGTAAAACATCAGTGCAAGAAACATCCAGTCTTGAATATCCTCACATATTCCGCATTGTGTAAAGGGTAAAAATAGATGTGAAAATTATTTGAATGGACCACATACATTTAGTGGTGGCACCGGGTTTCCAAGAAATGGGTGAGCAAGTCCTGCCTTAAGTAAACCGAGTTGCTCTGGTTAGTAGGATGTGTTGCGTGGGTTTAACTTGTATCAACATTTCTCTAATATTACGACGTGGATTTAAGGTTGCTTCGTATGTACGTGTCTTTTGCTGACAAATCCAGATTAGATTTATAAACGGTAAAGGGAATCAAGCTTAACGAGTTGTGACCTTCTTGACCAGTCTGCCATTTGTTCCCGGGAGGTTATTACTGGAATGTGTTTTAGAATGATATCAGGTATTTCGTTTGTTGTTTGTACACCACTATATGACGGCGGTCTGTAAACAATCGAGTCTACCAAACAATCCAGTGATTGGCATCATGAGCATCGATCTATGGGATATGATGACAAGTCAGCCACGTCAGCGAACCTAACCACCCGATCCCGATTGCGTTAGTCGCCTCTTACGACAAGCCTCTGATGCTGAAGATCGGTTCTAGACCGGATCTCTACCACATGATGTCATTCTTAAATGCTGTCATCGAAAAGACTGTACTTATCCCTCAAAACATTAACTGTTACATTAATATTTATCTTGCCTCACACATAAATGTCGTTTTCTGATTGGCTAACGCTCTTCTATTACTTTCAATGTACCCCGCTTACAAGCGTAGTAGTAATAATTCGTAGTAGTAATTCTTTATCTCGAATACTATTGATTCACGTATGATGTACGGAAATTACCGATGTTTTGTGAATGCAAATCGATGGAAGGGGGATAACTCTAAATTTGTTTTTCTTGTCGTCTTGTCGTCTGGTACTTCATACTATGATCGGATACCCATGCTTCGAACAGTTCAAAATTACCATTGAGGTGTTCGGTAAGATAAATACGTTGTTCACTGGTCCCTCGGGGCACATGGGTTGATGTACCCCTCGAGACCAGTGGACAACTTATAATATTAAAAAATTCAGTAATGTGTCCACTGGACTGAGACAAGTCAATATACAGATCCAACTGAAACCGGTTTCAGAAAACAGTGGCTTACCTACATGTACGCAAAGTGACAATTACCAACGCAAGCTGATTTCATGTGCCTTTCGCGGCATTCAATCGGTCCGTCCGTAAGAGTTACTGCCCCTTATGGAAGGGAAACTACTCTAACCCAAGTCTATAAGACAAGTGTTTGAAATATACAGTCATATGCACAGGTAACAATTCAGTCAAATTCAAATGCATTCAATTTGGGAAAAGACTCCGCATAGCTCTACCACGTCCCCAATGGAAACAGATTCCACTCGCTAAATTCATTGATATTTGAATTTCCAGAGTTACCCAAACGTCTTAGTTACAGCCTAGTGAGACACTGATTTTGAGTATTTCAGAAACAAAGATACTAACAATCATTACAGTTGTTTATCCACAGTCCCTGCAGTCAATTCTAATTCGTTGGCCTATCAAGTCAAACATTGATTACACAACAGTCTCGTTTCCTGCTGACTGGGTTCCGTCCTATTGTGCATCTTAGTACAATAACCAGTCCAGAATTTTGAGCCCAACTCATTTAACTGGATATATAAATATGAATCAGTATTATTTGATACAGCTAAGCACTTGTATATTGCAAAACTACGCTCCATCTAATCCTCGCAAACACGTCGTGCAGCGTGCTGACAAACGAAAATCTGGAAATCGTGGAAATCGCAAAACGAGGTTCTGCCGCTAGAAACGTTTGGCGGTCTGGTACGGACTTGATATTATATCAGTCACATTTGACTTAATAAGCGCAAAGGACACATAACAGGGGTAACCAATGAGCCAGATGAATTGTGAATCATTGTACGACCTCTTCAGGGGCAGTCTGTGACGTCTTAGTTAACGACAAGCTGCTTAAACATGTACATTAAATATAGAAATACGATTGTTTAAAACTTTAGAATTAAAATCAATTTGTAACTACCATTTTCTTATGAAACAAGGAAGTGGAATTTAGTGTAACCATAGTTGATTATAGTGTCTCTTTTCACTTTCATACGAGAAAATTCGGATCGGCTGAAAAGTAGGTCATTGTCTGAATTGGTCAATGAGACTCATGTTTCGGTTTGTGACGCCATGTATGTAAACACTAAACGTAGTATACACTTGACCTTTCATATTTACATAGCTATCCGCATCCGTTTACATCTGTATCCTGCCGAGAAAACGTCTCATTATGTGAGACGTTAAACTATCCATGTATCTACATTTCTGAATTTTGATGATAATAACGATAATGATAATATTCCTTGCGTTCTTTCCATGCAGCTGAACGCAGATCCGGGTTAGAATTGATCTTCAGCAACCCATGCTTGTCGTAAAAGGCGACTAATAGGATCGGGTGGTCGGGCTCACTGACTTGGGTGACACATGTCGTCGTATCCCAGTTGTGTACATCGATGCTCATGTTGTTGATCACTGGATTGTCTGGTCCAGACTCGATTATTTACAGACCGCCGCCATAAAGCTTGAATATTTCTGAGGGTGGCGTAAACCTAAACTCATCTTTCGCTCCATGCAACTTGAAGGTTATATACCATAATTGGGATTACACTTTCTCAGTAGATTACAGATTCTATTACTGTTTGCCACTTGAAGAAGGATGTGGATATGAATAAGAACGAATCTTGGTAATCCCTTGGGTCAGAAACACACGCTAAATATCACATTGTTACTACGTCCCTTATCCACCGTTTAAAGACAAGAAGGAACGGAGATCCTTACCCTTGTAGCCGTAGTGTTGAAGCCTGGCCTCGGGAGGGTGGCATAGAAACAACCATCCCTGTACACAGAGAACCTTCGGTCCAGCTGCAGCTGTGAGTAGCTGCATGGGCAGCTGTAGGCTTGGTCAAGTTCCTGTTGTATAGCCCCCCAGATTCGCCGCCTCCTCTTGGTACCATCTCACGCACTCCAGGGCGGGGTTCCTCGCCTTCCGCTGGCAGTGCCCCAGCTTGTAGTACCATGCTCCGATGGTGTTCCCCATGTTTCCTACAACAGTCGTAAGTGCGTGAATTATTTGACTCACAACAGAATAATGTCCCTGTTATAAAACACACACACACATACCACACACATACGTGTCAGTGAGTGTGAGCGAGTGAGAGTGAGTGTGTGTGTGAGCGAGTGAGAGTGTGTGTGTGTGTGTGTGTGTGTGTGTGTGTGTGTCAATCACATTTTCTCATTCATGGTTTAAACATTCATGGTTAAAATGTAACGTTGCAGGATCAAAACTGTTTTGATATCACGTAATGATATATCCTTTATCAACTATGAGGTAAAACAAAGTAAATCAACCTTATTTTGTTCGTAGTTGAAATCGAAAACATTTCGTTAAATTTAATTATGTCTATTCCACAAGTATAATATTTTATCTATTGCTGGGTAATTTTGAGTAAAAATACCTCAATGAAAACAGATATCTAGGCTCTGAAGTATTCATAAAAATGATAAAACGGATGCTAGAGGCTTTCTTCATTTTCAGAAACTGTGAAACTAAATCATTTTCAAGACATTGATGTATTCAATTATCGCCAGAGAAACCTAAGACCCAGATAATTAAACCAAGTAAATGAATACCCTGAATCTGATTTGCATGGTTTTGTATAGTTGTTTACAGTTCAGTGTGCCATTATTTGAATTAGAAACACATTTCAGATTCACCCGAATTTTTCGTATTACTGTAGCTCAAATCTTACATGACATGATCTATTAACTATGGTCATATGAAGGACCGATTTATTATAGTGGTATGGAAGAATCGGGTTGTCCTTAACTTTCTGCACTGGTTGTGTTCCAAATGGACTAAATATTCCTTGAAACTCTAACTTAATTACTTCTTTTCAAAACGTACGCGTGTTCTTAAATGTTTGCTTTGTTATCATTACAATTAAGGTAATATAACATATTGATAATACAACATTATACGGGAATTTAGGTTTCTTTCTTTCTCCCAGCTATATGGCGGTGGTCTATAAATGATATAGTCTTGACAAAACAATCCGGTGATCAGCAGCATGAGCAACTATGTACGCAGTCAACTAAGTCAGCGAGCCTAACCACCCGTCCCCTTAAGTCGCATGGGTCGACTGAAGACCGGATCTTCACAGGTCGGGAATACATCCCTAGTGCACCAGCCTCACCTATCTTCTCGTTGATCCTGAAGACAGACGTGGTTTCGCTGAAGGGGTTGTTCCTGTACGCCTGTGACCCACACTGCCAGCCGACCACAGCGCTCCGGCCAGCGTCCACTGTCCACCCCATGTCTCCATAGATGTACATGGCGTATGTGTCGTCCCCGTCGGTTACAAGCAGTAGCTGGAACGTCGTATTCTGTAGGAGAACAAAGTCACCAATGAAACTCTCGTGGATTGATACGAGGAAATCAAACACGAATTATTCATTATATAAGATATTCATCTATTTAAAATCACAAAGTTTCTGTCCATTTTGTAATACTGTGAAGAATGAATTACACTTCATATTTCTTTGTCCTTTATATAATGGTTTAAGGCAAATGTATGTTCCACAATGGTTACATTCAAATATTAATGCTACAAAACTGTATTCAATTTCAATACTTTCCTGTAAAACATCCTTATTACAATATAAGGTAGCTCTTTGTATTTATCACGCGCTTGTATTGAGAAGAGATTCAATGTAACGTGTGTGTCGCATGTTGTATATGTTGTACATATGCATATTTATTTTGTATATGGGCCTCTGGCCTTCATGCAATAAACTGATTGATTGATTGATATTATTGGATTTTTTTCTGATTTTTTTCCAGTTTTTTATCATTAGGACACAAGAAGGATACAAAGAACCCGTTCTCGCATGCATCTCGCATTAAATGTTATTTTTAGAATCATCTCTTTTTGATATGTTTCTGACATGAGGGAATCATTAATATGTGGAGGGATAAATCGAAACGAGGCATATTTGTTAAAGTATTTACATTGTGTGGTGAACAGTGGAGGCAGTGTGTGTGAATGTATTATGATGTATCTATAGTTTCACTTTTGATTTTAGATGGTATGAACTGACGTGGACTATATAGTCTTGTACTATGTAACCGCCTTTTTTGTTTGGACCGAGGAGCAAATGAAAGTATACCCCACCATTGTCAAATCAATAGAAACATACTCGGTATATTCTTGCTTGCCCCAGGGTTCTATATCAAGAAGAGATTGAAAACATAGGTGGCAGAATTTAAATCTCTGTATCATTAAATAATTATTGTTCATCATCTTATCAGATTCAATATGGATGGGTTGTATGACATTCAAACAGTTTTAATACCTAATATCTGAATTCAGCTTTCTTTTTAAACTATATCTTCAACATTCAACGACCAAAAAGGAAAATGGTAAGTCTTCAACACCGTATGTTTCCATTAAAACTCAAATCCTTCAAAAGGGTTTATACAAAGGCAAACGTCTACCTGGCTAGGAGCAGTTGTAATCGCAGGGTACGGATTCACATGATCCCACGTGACTAGAAGTGCTGTCGTAGCGGTGAAGTTCTCAAACTCCGAGTTATGTGACTTCAAAGTTGACACTGCTGACTTCAGGAAGATTTCCGCCTCATTTGCAGAGGTGTTCGAGACGGAGTATTTGTCATACAGGTGGTAGGAAATGTCAGCGAAGTTCGTCCCTTTCAGATCAATGTCGGACCAGAATGGCGCAACCATATTGTATTCTCCATACGGCAGTTTCTCAGGGTTAGAATTTACCCGAATTTTGTCCATTGTGATATACCCGTCTGTATATACCTGTGGAAATAGAGACATGGTGGACATGTGATAGTGTGTCGGTACAGACATGTAAAAAGGTTACTTATCGAAAAATGTGTTCTTAAGATATCTACATGTACATGAAAGCCTAACGTTACATCGATAAATATAAATGCATTTCATGCACTTCAACAGATACCATCTAACATGTTTGAAGTATTGGACCCGTGAACACCCGAGTTGGAATTGATCTTCAGTAACCTAGCTTGTCGTAAGAGGCGACTAACGGGATCGAGTGGTCAGGCTCGATGACTTGATTCACACATGTCATCGGTTCCCAGTTGCGTAGATCGATGTTCATGCTGTTGATCGCTGGGTTGTCTGGTCCGGACTCGATTATGCCCAGACCGCCGCAACATAGCTGGAACATTGCTAGTGGGTCGTAAAACTGATATACTCACTCACTCCGAAATATTGTTAAAGCATCAAGGAGGTAATTCTCAAAGAACGTACGTAGACGTCGTGGGCACGATGACATCCACAGGTAAACCCGGTTGGGACGTTGATTGCAGAACTGTACACATCATCTCCATGGTTTAAATGGGTATCACCTTCTTCTTCTCCATATGGAAACATACCTGGAAGAATCAGAACCTGAACATGTTCAAAGGAATTAATTCAATTTACAGAAAAAATGGACACGATTTGAATCACATTTATTGTTCATTAATGATAAATAAATACAGAAGTAAAAAAGTTGTAATAGCGAAAGGTGTAGTAATACTTACGTATTCTTGGCCGTTCTGGAACTTTCGTTGTAAACATGTGTCCTGACGGTGTAGAATGTAAGTCTGGATGTGACTTATACGGTGACTGTGATATTCTAGACATTCCAGTGGATGACGTGACCTGCTCCGTGCTTGCTGTTGAAGATTCCACAGTAGCACTTGTAGTTGATCCCCGTGTGGATTCTGATGTCATCTCTGTACTGGAGGAAGAGGTCGGAATGCTGGACGAAATCTCGCTCGTCAGTGAGGACGTATGAACTGTGCTTGTAGACATTCCAGTGGATGATGTGACCTGCTCCGTGCTTGCTGTTGAGTATTCAGTTGTAGCACTCTCAGTGGGCGATGTCACTTCCTCTGTAGATGTAGGTGCAGAGCTTTGGGGTGCAACATACGATCCTGGTTTCCTCTGAGATACTAGATGACGGTGAGGAGAGGTCTGTTTGAGCTTGAGAAGGAGATGTTGAAGTTGTTTCTGATGTTGGCGAGCTTTCTCCCAAGTGTAGAACTTGTAGTCGATTCCTGTGTGGATTCTGATGTCATCTCTGTACTGGAGGAAGAGGTCGGAATGCTGGACGAAATCTCGCTCGTCAGTGAGGACGTATGAACTGTGCTTGTAGACATTCCAGTGGATGATGTGACCTGCTCCGTGCTTGCTGTTGCGAATTCAGTTGTAACACTCTTTGTTGATGCGTCAGTGGGGGATGTCACTTCCTCTGTAGATATAGTTGCAGAACTGTAGGGTGCAACATCCGTTCCTGCTTTCAAGCTACTAGATGACTGTGAGGAGAGGTCTGTTGGAGCTTGAGAAGGAGATGTTGAAGTTGTTTCTGATGTTGGCGAGCTCCCAAGTGTAGAACTTGTAGTCGATTCCTGTGTGGATTCTGATGTCATCTCTGTACTGGAGGAAGAGGTCGGAATGCTGGAAGAAGTCTCGCTCAAGTCAGTGAGTAGAACTGTGTATGAAGTGGCCTGCTCCGTGCTTGCTGTTGAAGATTCCACAGTAGCACTTGTAGTTGATCCCCGTGTGGAATCTGATGTTATCTCTGTACTGGAGGAAGAGGTCGGAATGCTGGAAGAAGTCTCGCTCGTCAGTGAGGACGTAGGAACTGTGCTTGTAGACATTCCAGTGGATGACGTGACCTGCTCCGTGCTTGCTGTTGCGAATTCAGTTGCAACACTCTTTGTTGATGTCTCAGTGGGCGATGTCACTTCCTCTGTAGATATAGTTGCAGAACTGTGGGATGCAGCATTCGTTCTTGGTTTCATGCTACTAAATGACTGTGAGGAGAGGCCTGTTGGAGCTTGAGAAGGAGATGTTGAAGTTGTTTCTGTCGTTGGCGAGCTCCCAAGTGTAGAACTTTCAGTCGATCCTTGTGTGGATTTCGATGTAATCTCTGTACTGGAGGAGAAGAGGTCGGTGTGCTGGAAGAAGTTTCACTTTTCAGCGAGGACAAGGGTAACTTGTAGATTTGCCAATAAAGAATGTGGCCTGCTCCGTGCTTGCTGTTGAAGATTCCACAGTAGCACTTGTAGTTGATCCCCGTGTGGATTCTGATGTCATCTCTGTACTGGAGGAAGAGGTCGGAATGCTGGACGAAATCTCGCTCGTCAGTGAGGACGTATGAACTGTGCTTGTAGACATTCCAGTGGATGATGTGACCTGCTCCGTGCTTGCTGTTGAGAATTCAGTTGTAGCACTCTCTGTTGATGTCTCAGTGGGCGATGTCACTTCCTCTGTAGATGTAGGTGCAGAGCTTTTGGGTTCTGCAATCGATCCTGGTTTCGAGATACTAGATGACGGTGAGGAGAGGTCTGTTTGAGCTTGAGAGCGAGATGTTGAAGTTGTTTCTGATGTTGGCGAACTCCCAAGTGTAGAACTTGTAGTCGATTCCTGTGTGGATTCTGATGTCATCTCTGTACTGGAGGAAGAGGTCGGAATGCTGGACGAAATCTCGCTCGTCAGTGAGGACGTATGAACTGGGCTTGTAGACATTCCAGTGGATGATGTGACCTGCTCCGTGCTTGCTGTTGAGAATTCAGTTGTAGCACTCTCTGTTGATGTCTCAGTGGGCGATGTCACTTCCTCTGTAGATGTAGGTGCAGAGCTTTTGGGTTCTGCAATCGATCCTGGTTTCGAGATACCAGATGACGGTGAGGAGAGGTCTGTTTGAGCTTGAGAGCGAGATGTTGAAGTTGTTTCTGATGTTGGCGAACTCCCAAGTGTAGAACTTGTAGTCGATTCCTGTGTGGATTCTGATGTCATCTCTGTACTGGAGGAAGAGGTCGGAATGCTGGACGAAATCTCGCTCGTCAGTGAGGACGTATGAACTGGGCTTGTAGACATTCCAGTGGATGATGTGACATGCTCCGTGCTTGCTGTTGAGAATTCAGTTGTAGCACTCTCTGTTGATGTCTCAGTGGGCGATGTCACTTCCTCTGTAGATGTAGGTGCAGAGCTTTTGGGTTCTGCAATCGATCCTGGTTTCGAGATACTAGATGACGGTGAGGAGAGGTCTGTTTGAGCTTGAGAGCGAGATGTTGAAGTTGTTTCTGATGTTGGCGAACTCCCAAGTGTAGAACTTGTAGTCGATTCCTGTGTGGATTCTGATGTCATCTCTGTACTGGAGGAAGAGGTCGGAATGCTGGACGAAATCTCGCTCGTCAGTGAGGACGTATGAACTGCTTGTAGACATTCCAGTGGATGATGTGACATGCTCCGAATGCTTGCTGTTGAGAATTCAGTTGTAGCACTCTCTGTTGATGTCTCAGTGGGGTGATGTCACTTCCTCTGTAGATGTAGGTGCAGAGCTTTTGGGTTCTGCAATCGATCCTGGTTTCGAGATACCAGATGACGGTGAGGAGAGGTCTGTTTGAGCTTGAGAGGACAAGATGTTGAAGTTGTTTCTGATGTTGGCGAACTCCCAAGCTGTAGAACTTGTAGTCGATTCCTGTGTGGATTCTGATGTCATCTCTGTACTGGAGGAAGAGGTCGGAATGCTGGACGAAATCTCGCTCGTCAGTGAGGACGTATGAACTGTGCTTGTAGACATTCCAGTGGATGATGTGACCTGCTCCGTGCTTGCTGTTGAGAATTCAGTTGTAGCACTCTCTGTTGATGTCTCAGTGGGCGATGTCACTTCCTCTGTAGATGTAGGTGCAGAGCTTTGGGGTTCTGCATACGATCCTGGTTTCGAGCTACTAGATGACGGTGAGGAGAGGTCTGTTTGAGCTTGAGAGCGAGATGTTGAAGTTGTTTCTGATGTTGGCGAACTCCCAAGTGTAGAACTTGTAGTCGATTCCTGTGTGGATTCTGATGTCATCTCTGTACTGGAGGAAGAGGTCGGAATGCTGGACGAAATCTCGCTCGTCAGTGAGGACGTATGAACTGGGCTTGTAGACATTCCAGTGGATGATGAGGACGTGACCTGCTCCGTGCTTGCTGTTGAGAGTTCAATCATAATTTCAAAACTCTACACATTTCATAAAGAAATTGGGCAGAGAAAGGGATTATAAATATCAGGGATATATGTGATGAAAATGGATTACTATCAATAGAATCTGTAAAAGAAAAATATTGCATTTAGGTACTTTTTTAGATTATAGATATTTACTGAACATATTGAATGTTTGAACAATTCGAATGTTAACCAATGCCAGATAAATTCAGTAAAAGCATTAAAAGGCTGCAGGAGTTTTTATGATAAACGTATTTGCAATGATAAATATCCTAAGATTTTTAATAAATGGCAGCTTTTATTTCCTGAAACCGACTTTGATTGGAAAAATATATTTACAGTATATAGGAAGGGATTACAAGATGCAAAGCTTATAGACTTTCTACAAGGTATTATTTATACAAAAAGGAATTGGTCAAAATGGAAAAAGTCGATAACAGTTTGTGTTGTTTATACAATTATGCAATTGAGAATGTGTGTCATGTGTCCTTGAAATGTCAGGAGACACATTTTTTTTAAAAACCTACAAATTTGGCTGAACTATTTTTATCCTCACCCATTGATATTATCAAAAGACATGGTTTGGTTTGGTACTCCACATGAAAATAAAAACTAAATCACATCATCATTGCTGCAAAGAGACATATTCACATCAGTATTAAAAATATGCTTCCAAATCTCACTTTATATATACAAACTCTGAAAGAAATGTTCTTTGTGAATAATCATATATCAACAAAATATAATAAAATAAATAATTTCAGTCACAAATGGAGCCTACTCTCCCCAGTACTTAAATGGCTCCTAACTGTATCAATTTGTACCATCTATACGTTTAATGATTTATGCATGTTTATGAATATATTAATATATTGATAACATACCTGTGCATCATGTAGCTGTATTACCTTAAGGTTATACTTTGTTTGTCTGTGATCATATTATAATCTTGGGAACCAATAAAAAACCCGAAAAACAAACAAAAACAAAACAAAAAGTTGGGGAAGTATTAATGGTATTAGAAGTAATGGTAATAGCAGCAGCAGTAGCAGTACTAGTAACAATAGATGGAGCAGCAGTAGTAATTGTAGTAGCAGCCGGAAAGGCGACGGTTCGATGTGGTGTTGGTAGATGCAGTTATTGGTAGAAGCAGTTATTGAGTTACCTGGATTCGTCAAATAGATTGAATACTGCTGAGTGTAGGACAAACAAACATTTGATTGCAACGTCACCTGGTCTCATCGTGTGGCGCTGTATTATTGACCACAGGAATTAATATTTGTTTGTTGTAAAAGGCTACTCTCAACATTAGTGGAGCAATATGGCGGCGGTCTGTAAAACTCTGGACCAGACACTCCAGTGATTGACATCGTGAAGACGCATCTACGCAATTGGGATACGATGACATGCGTCAACGTCTCTGACTATTTTATCCCGTTGGTGGTCTCTCATTACAAGAATGGGTTGCTGAAGATATTTTCTAAACCGGGTCTTCAGGGGTCCTCTTCAGGTACCTCTTCCTCATTGGCACCCAGACAACATCGTTTTGGGCAGTTCCATCACTGTCACATCTAGGAAAAAGTAGTAGTAGTGGTGGTGATGGTGATGGTGTTGATGATGCCGCTGGTGATCCCGTTGGTGAGGCGATGTTTTCTATATTACAAGTTGGTGCGCATTATGGCTCATATGTCGGTATGTTATGAGTCAGTATGTGTTATAAGCCAATATGTGTTATGAGT